GGGCGCCCGCCCCTGTCCCCCGCCCCCCCCCCCCCCACTTTGGTTTGCTTTTTGGGCTTTTAGCCAAGGCATGTGCTCCACAGGCTGTCTTACTGTCTGACTTGGGGAGATGAGGGTTTATTTATATCTGCCTGAGATTGTCCTTGGAGCTCACACATCTGGTTCCCATGGCAACGTGCCTAATGCCGACAAACAAAAACAGATCTTTAAGGCATTGTCTGAGTTGTGTTTCAGGAGGGGCCTGGGTTCAAGTCCTAGCATTGCCCTGTGTATGCCATGTGACCTTGGACCGGTTACTTGCCGTCTCTAGGCCTCAGTTTCCTCATCACCTGTGCTGGGAACTGTGAGGAGGCCCCAGTAAGAGCAGCTTTGAGCTCGTATGTGTGGCTATAATTGAGGTGGGCCTGTGTCTCTCCCCTATGCTGTCTTGGCACACATGTGGGTAAGTGTATCTCCCTGCAGGTGGCCCCCAACGCCTGCAGCAGAGCACTCAGGGCTCTCTACATCCAGGAACAGCCCAGGGAGTGGGGATTGGGACCTTGACCCCAGTCTTGAGGCCTGTGAATGAGAGCAGGGTCAGCAGAACACAGGAAGCCCACTCTCCTGCCCTCTGTCCTCCTCCCTCCCCACAGATTGTTCCCTGTGGCAGTGTTAGTCCCCTGCAGTGATGAAAACAGAGCCATCACTAGCATCACTGTGCTTCCATTTACAGTCCACTCTGTCCTTTATTCCCCACAACCACCCTGGGGAGGAAGGATGTTGCAGTAAACACTCCCACTTTAGAGGCACTGGTGGTGCTGCTTAGAGTGCAGGTTGGGAAGTTGGGAGGTCTGGAGGTTTCCAGGAGGCTCTGCCTCCTCAGCCACAGGACTCTGGGCAGGTCCCTGCTCTGCTGGTCCAGTCCCCTTTGCTTGGTCTGAGCTTAGACTCTGGTCCATCTGATGGTCCTGTTTCTCTCTGCCATCCTTGACTTGGTGAAGCCTATCACTATGGGCAAAGCTTAGTCAGCCCCCTTTCTCCTTCCCCCACAGGAAGGTGGAGGACCTGCAGTTCCGAGTGGAGGAGGAGTCCATCACCAAGGGAGACTTGGAGGTAATGGTCAAAGGCCCCTAGGCCCCTCCCCTGGGCTCACTCAGCACCCCAGGCCTAGCCCTTGCCATGGCAAATGTCCATGAGGTCCAGGCAGCAATTCTGGGCCCCCCCTGGGAGGGGGTTGGGGGGATTACAAGGGAGAAATGGAGAAGAGTTAAAGGTCACACCCTGGGAGAATGGAGAAGGGACAGGCCTTGAGACACTTGGATGTCAGGTGGGAATGGCTCAGCTCCAAGAGCCCAGAGGCGTTTTGTGTCACAACTGGGTGGGGTGGGCAGGATGGACAAAGGGCAGCAAGGATGCAGGGCTGGGCTTGAGAACTTAGTGGCTGGATACCCCTTTCCCTTCTTGTTTGGCAGTAGCCCTACAGGTGTCCCTTGGGCCCTTGGTTCATCTTGGATTCCAGGTAAATTTTGTCTGGAAGTAGCCTGTTGAGTCACAGAATTTATAGCTGAGACTCAGAAAGGCAAAGGGATTCACCCAAGCCCTGTGGCAAGTCAGCAGCCACTGGGATGAGGGACCAGGACACCTGAGTCCTGAGCCAGCCCATAAGGCTGGTGAGTGCTGTAACTCCTCCTCAGTTATAACACCTAGACATTCTGGCCTGGAGCAGGAGGAACCTTTCACTGTCCAATCTGACCCACCTTTTCTGAGCCAAGGGATTGGGATGCTCAGATTGACTAGTAGCAAGTAACTAAAGGGCCCCACTCCCCTTCGGAAGCCTGCCTCACCAAACCAGGCAGAGACCACAAGGGCTCATGAGGCCACCGTTGGGTGGGCAGGAACACCTCCTGAAGCTGTCAGATGGAGTAGGGGATAGTGAATTCAGTCCCTCTCCACACACTGGTTCTGGACCTAAGTGGCCTCAGGCAGCTCCCTTCTTCAGGCCTGTTTCTTCAGCTGCAAAATGAGATTGAACTAGCTCAGTGGTTCTGAAACTGGAGGGCTTATTCAAACACAGAATGCCGGGCCCCACCCTCAGTGTCTGATTCAGTAGGACTGGGTGGAACCCAAGAACGTGCTTTTCTAACACCTTCCTAGCTGATGCGGTCAAGGGACCACACTTTGGGAATCACCATACTAGATCATTTCTGAGCTCAAATGAGAAATGATGGTTTCTGATGTGAAAGAGCCACACTTAAGCCCCCTACGACTTCCAATTCCCCACTAGCAAATGTCCTGTCTCTGGATGACCCTGGCTTGGGGTGTGGGGGAGGGATGTGTGATCGGCTTGGGTCGCTGCCAGCCGCTGCAGCTGGAGCTTAAGGCATGGATGTCGGGGCACAGCTGGGGGAGCCTCAGCCCAGGGACAGGGTGTTATCCTTTAAGTTTCCCTCGAAGCCGAGGGGCTGGTCACGTGGCAAGGTCGGGGAGGGCTCCTGGGGAAAGCACCTGCGAGTGCAAGGAACGGGAGGGCTCACGAAAGGCCGCAGATCTCACGGCCCCGCGCGCGGGCAGGAGCCGAGGCCATTTCCCTGTGCGTCGGGTCAGGCTGCGTCTGTTTGTCCCTTCACTGCGTCTCCCGGTCTCCTGGCGCCTCGGCTCCCCACCCGCGCACCAGCGCCCGCCATCTTCCCGCTGTCCTCGCGAGGGAATCTGATTGGTCCCAGGCTAGCCAATGGGCGGGGGCCGTCCGGTCAGGTGTCCGCCCCGGATCCAATCAGCCCTGCCTAGGAGAGGCAGCGGGGCGGGACGGTGGTGGAGAGCCGATTCAGTCGCAAGCGCAGCAGAATCCCGCTGTGACCTTATTGTGCATACCGAATTGTGACCGTGTTCACTGCAGCCAGAGGCAAACTGACCCCCAAGTCCCACTCATCCCCACCCATCTTCAAAGTCAAAAATCAAAACCCAGAACTCCTTGACTTCCTGGTTCCCTCCAGCTATGTCGCCCCGTCCCTGCGCATCCACACCGCAAAGCTTGAGTTGCTCAGGATGCCCTTTCCCTTCCTGTCGCGTCCAGCCACAGTAGGTGCCCCCATCCAGCTTCTCAGCCTCCTTTGCTAGCGCCTCCTCCCTCCTGACCTCTGAGTGTTGGCCTGTCCAAGGGCTCAGCCCTGAGCCCATTGTCCTCTGGTCCATGCTCGCCCTGAGAAGTTCCAGCCCGTGGTTCCCGTGGTCTTCCCCGAGCTCCACACCCGCAGGCCCGCTTGACATCTCCACCGGGATGAGAAGGGATAGGCATTTGTATCAGTTCCCTGGGGCCACAGTAATAAGTTGCCACAACCGGGTGGCTTAAAACAACGCAAATTCTGGAGGTCAGAAGCCTGAAATCCAGGCATTGGCAAGGTTGGTTCCCTTTGGAGGTGCTGAGATGGCATCTACTCCGTGCCTTTCTCCCAGTTTCTGGCAGGATTGCTGGCAACCCTTGGCGTTCTACAGCTCCTAGCTGCATCATTCCAGTGTCTGCCTCTCGTCACTTGGCTTCTTTCCCTGTGTGTCTCCTTACAGACACCAGTCACTGGATTTAGGGCCCACCCTAATTCGCGGTAACCTCATCTTGACCGATTACATGTGCAAAGGCTCTATTCCAAACAAGGTCACATTCTGAGGTTCTGGTGGAGCATGAAATTTAGGGGGTCACTATTCAACCCGGTACAGCATCCCAAAAGTAACATGTCCAAAGCAGTTCTCTCAATTTCTTGCCTTCTATGTTCTGCTTTCAACTAACACCAACCCCCTTACTGTTCTCATCTCAGTAGGTGGCCCCACAAAAAAGAGAAAGAGATCAACAGTTACTCAGTCCCCACAACTAGAATTCATCTTGAATCTTCTCTTTCCCTCATCCCTCCATCAGAAAAACTCTTGACCTTGCCTTCAAAATTATCCCCATCCCCACAGCCACCACCCTGGGCCAGGACCCAGCACCTTGCCTCGCTGGCCCCTCTCCTTCCTCTTTTCTCGCAATGTCCATTCTCCACGCTGAAGCCAGAACAGTCTTTTTTAAAACATCTTTTTAATTTTTTTTGTGTGTCCCTTTTGAGACCGGCCGCACCGCGTTCAGCCAGTGAGCGCTGTGAGCGCACCGGTCATCCCTGTATAGGATCCGAACCCGCGGTGCACCGCGTTCAGCCAGTGAGCGCTGTGAGCGCACCGGTCATCCCCGTATAGGATCCGAACCCGCGGCGGGAGTGCTGCTGCGCTCCCAGCGCCGCACTCTCCCAAGTGCGCCATGGGCTCGACCCAAACATCTTTTTAATTTTTAACGTTGGAAAACTTTAAACCTATATAGAGGTAGAGAAGACATCATTATGAACTCCCATTTCCCCACCACCCAGCTTCGACAGTCATGGCCAATCTTGTTTCTGCTATACCCCCACCCACGGCCCCCTCTGAAATCCCAACCATCATATAACCAAATGTTTTAATAACATAAATCAGATCCTGCTCCTTCCCCACTCACACATCTAGGGCTGTGACACTAGATAACATCCCGGCTCTGTAGAGTAGCCCAGAGAAGCCTTACAGGACCCCGCCCCGCTACCTGTCTAGGTGCCTCAGAACCCCGCCCCACTACCTGTCTAGCTGTCTCAGGACCCCACCCCGCTACCTGTCTAGCTGTCTCAGAACCCCGCCCTTATTTATCATGCTCCAGGCACGTTGGGCTCCTGTGTTTCTGGAGCACCCAAGCTTTGTCCTGCCTCTGAGCTTTTGCACATGCTGGTTCCCCTGCTGGAAACACCTGCCTCTTCCTCCACCACTCACCTGTACAGGGGGTTCCTTCTTATCCTGCAGGTCTCACTCTCAATAGTATTTCTCTTCTAGTTGACCTCCATCCGGTGACTCTCTACCCCAGGGCTCTGTTCATAGTCCACATCATAACCTGGAGTTATCTTCATTATTTACTGTTGGTTCATGTCCCTCTGCAGAGTATAAGCTCCTTGAGGGTGGGGGCCTGTTTGTTTTGTTCACCTTTATACCCCCAGTGCCAGATCAGGGCAGGAGCATGATAGAGCACTTTGCCCAGAGTGCGCTTCCCGGGTCACAGGCTGGGGACATGTTTTATGGCTCTCAAATGGGTGCTGCCATTTCACATCACAAAAACATCTGCCTTAGACTGGGCAGTTTTGGGGTTTTGTTGTTTAATCAACCAGTGGATTTGTGTTGTTATTTTGTTAACTAAATAGTGCCTCAGCGTTATTTTTCATTTGCATAAGAACACCCATTTTAAGAGAAACAATCAGTTTTATGAACCTAGAATCAACTATGTGTTGAGGACTCACTGAGGGAGACCAAGAGGAGAGGCGTGGTACCTCTGTCCTTCAGGAGCCCTTAGAGTAGTCGGGCAAACACCTCCCCCAGTTCATTAGTAAAACAAGATCTTTGTTACCTGAGGGGTGTCCCAGGGCAGTTGCTCCGTGCTTTAGGAGTGCAGAAGACAGTGTGTGGGAAGGAGGAGGAGAGCTCTGGGCCAGGGGCTCAGGCAAGACTTGGCTGAGCTGCCAGGGTTTGAGTCTCCTTTTCTGCTCTCTGTTCCTGCAGGAGATCTGGGTCTCCCCTCTGTGCAGTCACGCTGATTCAGGGGGAAAAGCACCAGTTCTAGAATGTGGAGGCCTGAGCTTCAGGCCTCAGTCTGCCCAAAATTGCTGGGTGATTCTGAGCCCTAGGCTTTCTCTCTCTGGAGTGGCCCCTCTCTCCTGTGTGTGAGGAGACGCCCCTGATGTGGGGTCAGTCTCTAGAGTTAGTGATGAGGCAGAAATTACATCCGCTCTTAGGCTGCCCCCAAGTGCCTTCCTTATCCATGGTTTTAGGAGCATGAACTCCATGGGATCTGAGAGTGTCTGAAACAGGATTGTGGCCCTCGTTCCACATGCCCTGGGCAAGAATGGAAGCCAATCGGCCAGCGCTCCTAACCTCTAGCCTTTAGAGGCTGTTTTCCCCCCAAGCTCCTGTGGTCGAATTTATATAAATTAAGCGAGCTCCTGAAGCTATTCCATTGGGTTCTTCTGTGCCCCTGCAGAGACCCCAGCCCACAGACCAGGAGGCTAGAGGTACTGACAGTGATGGGGAGGGGTCTTTGGGTGGGTAGCAAATGAAGTCGTCCTTGAAATTGTGAAGCTGGAGGCTTCTCCTTGCCCGGCAGACCACCAGTGTGGTATTCAGGCTCATACTCCATCTAGTGAGGCCCAGGCGGAGCTGCTGTGCCCACTGTCAGCAGGAGAGGAGGGCGGGGATGGGCCTCTGCAGGGCTGGGGTGGAGACACCCTCATCAGCCTGTAATTTTCTGGAAGAGGCTGAGCTTGGCTACTTGTCACACTGGGGCGTGCTGCCCTCCTGAAAGAGAAAGAGAAAACCTTTTTTGTTTTCTCTATAGGAAAATTCAAGAAATAAGACCATAGGCCAACGGACGTAAGCACCTCTGTGCCTCTTTATGAATTGCAAGAGTTTTTCTCAGGTGGGTGGTATCAGTGATGGTTTACACCAGCACCAGTAGACAAACATTTTACACATGCATGCTATCTTACTAAGCCCCACCTCTTCAGACTTGCATACAGTTTGCTTTAACTTTGTCCTGGAGGATGAGGCACACCCTCCTGCCTCTCCCTGGATGAATGTGGTTGGTTTCCACACTGCTCTGGGTGCCTGGAGCAAGTGGCCTCCCCTCCCCTTCCGTCTGCAGATCTGTTGTTATGGGAAGTCCCAGCACCAGTCTCGACGCTCTGAGAATGTCGAGCTTTGTTCGTGTATGAAGTGGGCGTTGTGAAGCTGGGACAGAAGTGCCCTTGTGCTTTCTGGGGACCAGGCACCTTCTGCAGGGCCCGGGGTGGGCACCGACAGGGCCGGGTTAGGGGCAGGACAGTGGGGGGCACAGCTCCACCCCCACCAAAGATGGTGTAGGTACAGTATTGAAAACCTTCCAACCCATTGGTTCTTTGACCTTCAGCACACTCTGGGGCCAGGAATCCTGGAGTCATTTATTCATTCATCAACCAGGGGCCTCCTGTGTGCAGGATCTGTGCCTAAAACGGATGGCAACCTGCAGGCTCCCTGAGGGGGAGCAGGAACAGGCTGGGTCCTCTCCCCAGGAGCAGGCAGAAGGACCGGCGAGGGCAGCCTGGGGGTGACAGGAGGGATGCGGAGTGTCCATTGTCACCCCCAGTGGTGACCGGTTGAGGGAGGGTTGCCACAGCATCTCCTCTGCCTTAAACCAAGCCAGGCCTCAGCGAGGGGCGGGCACCAGGCCGCACCCCACCCCCAGACTCCTCTCTTTGCCTGAGCAGTTCTGGCTCATCGACCTGCTTCTCCTTGTCTTGTTCACGGAAGATGACGCCTCCTCTCTCTCTCTCTCTCTCTCTTTCTCTCTCTCTCTCTTTTTCTTTCTCCGGCTTCCTCTTCCCCCTGCCCCCTCCCCATGTCCCCACCTCCCCCACCGTGTCCCGCCCTGGGTGGACCAGACCCAGACGCAGCTGGAGCACGCGCGCATTGGGGAGCTGGAGCAGAGCCTGCTACTGGAGAAGGCGCAGGCCGAGCGGCTGCTCAGAGAATTAGCGGACAACAGGGTAACGCCGCGCCCGCCCAGCCTGTGCCGCTGACATCCCCTCCGGCCTCTGTGTTTTATTATTTTCTCTGTCTTTGGCTGCTATCATTTTTGCTTTTTTCTTTTGCACCCCCTTCCAGGAGGGAAGTAGAGATTTAGAATCGTGCTTATGCTCCATTGCCAAGTGGTGCTTATCAGGGAGGGGGGATCTTTGTTCTCAATATTTTGCTCTCTAGCTCATAGTCCCATTAGCTGACCATGAACCCCTCCCCCTCTCTCCCTCCTTATGCATTGCCAGGGTAAGGCTTTGTCCTGTTCAGAAACCGGGGGCCTCTTGGCAGTGTTGCACCCTTATGTGGGCAGGCACAGAGACAGCCTCTCCATGCCTCCATCTCCCGAGCTGAGGAGGCTGGGGATGGGCGGGAGGCGGAGAACTGCAGATCCAGGTGTCTGTAGCCCAGGGGATCTTAAACATGGTGGCAGAGGGGCTAGCCTGAAGGACCTGGGGCTGAGGAAGTGGTGGGATTTTTGGGGAGTGGGGGAGTCCCCAGGGGGTGGGATTCTCTATCTGGCTTCTGTGATGCATCAGGTCAGGAGCCATGGGAAAGCTCTCCTTGGGAGTGAGGTCCCCTGAGTCCCGGGGCATGGTTCCAAGTCCCATGCTGCAGGCACAGCTGGCCTCTCCACACCCAGCAGAAGTTCTCCTGGCGAGGGGACCCAACAGGCAGCGAGCAGTGATTAGGGCAGCACCCTACACACAGTGAGGGGTGTGGAGCCAGCCGTGGGCAGTTTCTGCATGTTGGCTTCAGCACATGAGTGGGTGTGCACACGTGCGGGTGTCTAAAGACACACAAGGGTCCTTTGCACGCACTGGCCATTGCCTAGTGACCCCATGTTTGTGCAGCACACAGTCGTGTGAGGTGTGGAGCCAGCCGTGGGCAGTTTCTGCATGTTGGCTTCAGCACATGAGTGGGTGTGTACACGTGCGGGTGTCTAAAGACACACAAGGGTCCTTTGCACGCACTGGCCATTGCCTAGTGACCTCGTGTTTGTGCAGCACACAATCGTGTGAACGAAGACTGCCTGCAGAAACTAGCCCAGTTCCGCAGACGCAGAGGCACCTTGATTTAGGGTTCAACCTGAGTAAAAAAACAAAAACAGGTTTATTGAACCAAAAGACACTTTCAGAAACAAAATTTTTTAAGCTTGTAAAAGATTTGAAACTTTAAAATATATTTTTCACAAATTTATCTATGACTGCTGACGTGATCAAGGTGGACTTTTGGCAGGTGGAGCCTCTGATCTCAGAGATCTCCATTGGAAGACGGGTCTGGAGCATTCATTCTGCTCTGCTGTAGGCTTTGCAACCAGACCCTTCTTTGGCCACCCCCTGCAGGCAGCCCCTCTGAGTCAGCCCATTCTGGCTGGGGACTTTTTTAGAGCAGAATAATATAAAATTCACTGTGTAGCCTCTGCTCTTTAAAATAACATTAACTTGGGCCGAGCCCGCGGCGCACTCGGGAGAGTGCGGCGCTAGGAGTGCAGCAGCGCTCCCGCCGTGGGTTCAGATCCTATATAGGGATGGCCGGTGCGCTCACTGGCTGAGCGAGGTGCAGCCGGTCTCAAAAAAGAACAACAAAAAAAAATTAAAGAAAGCCATATTCTCAAATAGGTGGTTGCTTTTAACCACTGATTTGTCCCAAGCCCCCTAGGGCAGTGGGGACATTTGGCTCCCTGAATCACTGGGGTGCAAGCCAGGGGTGTCTTTCTGGAAGCTGTGGTGGGCAGGGCCTTGGAGTGCAGCCGGCACTCAGGTGGGAGTGGGTGTGCCCCTCACCCTCCAGCCCGCTGACCCGTCTCCCTTTCTCCCTGTAGCTGACCACAGTGGCCGAGAAGTCGCGGGTGCTGCAACTGGAGGAGGAGCTGAGTCTGCGGCGTGGTGAGATCGAGGAGCTGCAGCAGTGTCTGCTGCACTCGGGCCCGCCGCCCCCTGACCACCCTGAGGCCGCTGAGACGCTGCGGCTGCGGGAGCGGCTGCTGTTGGCCAGCAAGGAGCACCAGAGGGAAAGTGGCATGCTGCGGGACAAGTACGAGAAGGCTCTGAAGGCCTACCAGGTGGAGGTGGAAAAGCTCCGGGCAGCCAATGAGAAGTATGCACAGGAGGTGGCAGACCTCAAGGACAAGGTCCAACAGGCCACCAGCGAGAACATGGGGCTCATGGACAACTGGAAGTCCAAGCTAGACTCATTGGCCTCGGACCATCAGAAGTCCCTGGAGGACCTCAAGGCCACCCTGAACTCGGGCCCGGGTGCCCAGCAGAAGGAGATTGGGGAGCTGAAGGCCGTGATGGAGGGAATCAAGATGGAGCATCAGCTGGAGCTGGGCAACCTGCAGGCCAAGCACGACCTGGAGACTGCTGTTCATGTAAAGGAGAAAGAAGGCCTGCGGCAGAGGCTGCAGGAGGCCCAGGAAGAGCTGGCCGGGCTGCGGCAGCACTGGCGGGCCCAGCTGGAGGCGCAGGCCAGCCAGCACCGGCTGGAGCTGCAGGAGGCCCAGGACCAACGCCGCGATGCAGAGCTGCGTGTGCATGAGCTGGAGAAGCTGGATGTGGAGTACCGGGGCCAGGCTCAGGCCATCGAGTTCCTCAAGGAGCAGATCTCGCTGGCTGAGAAGAAGATGCTAGACCACGAGTTGCTGCAGCGGGCAGAAGCCCAGAGCAAGCAGGAGGCTGAGAGGCTGCGAGAGAAGCTGCTGATTGCCGAAAACAGACTCCAGGCCCTCGAGTCCCTATGCTCATCCCAGCACACCCACGTAGGCAGCCGCTCCTCCTGCCGGGCTGGGGCGAGCATGAGGGCCGGGCTGGGGCGGGCCTCAATGTTAGCTGATCTCTGTTTTCCAGCTTGGGAAACATTCTCTCTGCCCTCTGGAGCATGCCCATGGGAGATTGGGGTCACCTGGCTCAGAGTAGGAGCCCTTGTCCCTCTGTCACACGGGCAGTGACCTTGGCTGACTAAGGATCCAAAGTGGTCTGAGCTGACCAGTCTGATTCCCCCAAAGAGCAGGCATGGAGAGCCATGCACCTCAGTGCAGAGGACAGGCTTCCTCTCAGTCACCAAGCCCCTGATTCACCCAGACACATCCTCTTGTCAGGCTCCTGGACCTCCCCGGGCATCCGTGCCCCTTCCAGCACCCGGGACCCCAGGTGCTACACCGGGGGACTAGCACAGATGTGGAGGGAAGCTCTGCCCATCCCTGGGGCTCCCATCTCCAGTATGAGCACTGAGGGTGGCTCTGTTTCTGCCAGTCCTGGTGAGGCTTAGCAACAGTGGAAGAGCCACTTCCCCAGAGTGTGGGGGTCCCCGAGTGGGGAGGCTGGAAGGGCTGGCCCTAGACAGGCCGCTGCCATGAGTGTCAATTTTGCTTCAAATCTAGAAACCCCTCAAACATCTAGCCCCTCTTCCTTTAGCTGAGCACACTCCTCCTGGCCCCTATGAGGAGGCAACCCCCAGGTAGCATGGGCTGTGTCCGCTCCAGCAGGACCAGGAAGCCACTTTTGAGTGCTCTGGGCACCACCCTACATGACTCCATTTCACCTTAACTCCCTCGAGGTCAGTGTTGGCTCCATTCATAGGTGAGTGAACCCAGAGTCTGAGATGGAGTAACTGTCCCAGATCCCTTGCCCATCAGTGGCAAGGGTGTCCTGTGCCACTGCCTGTGGGGCTGGCAGAGGTTCCAGAACTGCAGAAATCAGCTCCTGTAAGTGGGATGGCTAGCTGCATGCCTTCTCCTGTTTAAAGGGGCCCCAGGGTTTCTTGAACTTCCAGTTCCCCCATGTACATTTAAACTAGAATTTAGCACTCAGGCAATCAGTTTTTAGAAGACTTTTTGTATAAAAGATCTGCCCGCACCATGCCTTAAGGTCCTCCTGCAGTGGCCTTCATGCCCCCTTCTCCCAGGAGGGACATTTTTTAGCAAGTGCTCTCCCAGGACCCTTGGTGGAAGGAAAAGGAAGAGACCCAGAGTAGCTTATGTGCACATGGGCCTGACTGTCTGCTCAGGGCAGGCAGAACCAGGCCCACAACCCCAGGACCTGGATTCCCTGAGCAGGAGAGGTTTGGGGCTGCTGTGGTTCCACAGAGCATAGGGGACAGAGGCATAAGGGTGGCCCCCTGCCCCTCAGTCACGGGTGCTCTGGGGCCGAGGATGAGTGGTGACCTCAGGAAGACCCATCTCTTGATTTTCCACCTACACTGGGGCCTCAGTCTAGAACCGTAAGTCACCCAGATTTAGAGGTTTAAGTTGAGGGAAAACTGGATCTTCAGTGTCATGTAATAAGTACAAGAACTTAAAAAAATTTTTTTTTCGTATATGCCTCATCTTCACTATAGTGTGCATAAATGAAGATCAAGGGGGCCTGATTGATCACAACTAATTGAGACTGATACGGGGTTTGGGATGTATGAACAGAGGTGTGAGGGGCAGGGTGATGGAGGTGACTGCTCAGCTCTGTGCTGCCCTGATCCACAGTGTAAGACTCTGGCAAACTACAGGCTCAGAGGATAACCAGCTTGGGCAGAGACTGGAAACTTCTGCAAGAAGCAGTGGGGAGCCTGTTGGTTGTCTTCTCTCATGTGGTGTTTGCCAGGACTTTTTTTTTTTAAATCAATCTTTCATTTTTGGCTTCTGGGTTTATTATTAAAAAGAAGTGTTAGAGAAAAAGGAGCTAGCACTATTGAGATCCCCCCAGGAGACGGCCCTGGGCGTGCTGTGCACACCCTGCCCCAGGGCAGTCTGTGCTTGTTTTATGGGTGGGAAACTAAGGCCAGGACTCTTGTCTCCAGGCGAGGGTGGAAACAGATTCCCAGGACAGGTCTCTGTGGGCATTTCAGGGAAGCAGACATCTGTTTAATGTAATAAACGTTTTCAACACAGGAAGGGGTAGGAGGTGTTCATGCAGAAGCTGCACAAGCAGCCCTTGGGGAGCTGGGAGCAGAGGGGGTACTCTGGTCGGGGAGATCAGACTGAGGGCATCTGCACTCCCTGACACCACATCGAGTCCCAGGCTCTGAGTCACTTGGGCCCCCCTCGTCAGGGCAAGGTGTGCAGACTGAGTGTGCTTGTCGGGTACGCTGGGGCTGTAGAGGGGGGTGGGCGTCCCCCTCACAGGGGCTCTTCTTTCAGATGATCGAGTCAAACGACATTTCAGAGGAGAAGATCAGGACAAAGGAGACCATGGAGGGTGAGTGGCCACTGGGCCAGGCGGGCTCCGGGCTTTGGGCAGAGGCTGGCTGGTTCTGCCTTTGAGCTGGGTCACATTTTGTGTCATCTGCCATTTGGTGAGAGTCGCCTACTCTGTGCAGGGAGCCATTTACTCCCCCAGTGAGGTGGGCAGTGGCCCAGTTTAAGGAGTGACAGATATTGTGCCAAGTACTTTACTATTGGTTTGGTTGTAATTTTATTTTTATTAAAAAATTTTTTTTGGCCGCTGGCCTATATGGACACCTGAACCCTTGACCTTGGTGTTATCAGTGCCACACTCTCCCAAGTTAACTTTATTTTTAAATACAGGTACAAACTTCAAATGGTTCATTGGGCATACAGCAAAGGGTACTGTATTCCCCGAGTTTCCTCCCTGAAGGTGTGATGTTTGCCATTGCATATCCCCCTTCCAGAGAGATTTTATGCTCATCCAAGCAAGTAGGTAACACAAATGGCCACACCTCTCATGCTTTCAGCCCTTACTTTTTTCCATTTGACAGCCTATCTTGAGACTGTCTCCTATCAGTAATACATTCTGTTACATGGTGCAGAATATTCTGTTGTGTGGAGAAAACATCATGTGTTTAGCCAGCTTCCTACTAACCATCGCTGGTTGTCCCCGGTCTTTGTCTGTTACAAATACCACTGCAGTAAATTACTCCCCCTCTGCCCACCAGCTGTAGTTGAAAGTGTGTTTCCCCACAAACCTCACCAAGAAAACGTGCATCACACTTGGTGCTCTTTGCCAATCTGAAAGGTAAAAGATGCTGTCTGACCTTTCTCTTTCTGTGAATGAAGTTAATAGGTATTTCTATTTCCATTTTTACTTCTATTCGTTGCCCATTTTTTCTGATTAGGTTATTATTCTTTTTTTTTTAAGATGACCAGTAAGGGAATCTTAACCCTTGACTTGGTGTTGTCAGCACCACGCTCTCCCAAGTGAGCCACGGGCTGGCCCTGATTAGGTTATTATTATGATCGTTGATTTTCAGCTCTTTATATATGACATTGCGAACATTTTTTCCCCATTTGGTTGTCTTTTGAGTTTGTGTATGGTGGTGTCTGCCGTGCAGATTTTTAAAGATTCAGTCTTTTTTTTAGCTTCTTCATTCTCCTTCCCACAGCCCATGACAACCATTAATTTGCTTTGTCGCTCTCAATTTATCTATTTTGGACATTTCACAGAAATGGTATCACATAGTATGTGGCCCTTTATGTCTGGCTTCTTTCACTCTGCATAAGGTTTTCAGGGTTTGTCCATGTTGTGGCATGGATCAGTACTTCATTCCTTTTTATGGCCAAGTAACGTTCCATTCTGGGGATAGACCACATTTCGATTATTCATTCGTCAGGTGATGGACATTTGGATTGTGTCTGCATTTTGGCAGTCGTGAATATTGCTGCTATGAACGTGTGTTCATGTAGTTGTTGAGAACCTTTCAGTTCTTTGGGGCATGACACCTAAGAGTGGAATGCTAGGTTATATGGTAATTCTGTGTTTAATTTTTTGAGAAACTGCCGAACTCTTTTGGCTATTCTTGCTTATTTTTTTCCAAGTGATCTTAGAATCAGCTTATCTAGTTCCACACACATTAAAGTCTTGTTGGTATTTCTATTGGTATTCCATGAAATTGATAAATTGACTTGCAGAACATCAGTATGTTTCTGAGCACCTTCCGTGCATAGCTTCTTATGACCGTTATGAGACTGTCCAGCATTGAACACACGTGACTGGGGACACGAGTGCTGTCATTACTGTCAAGACCACACAGTGTTGGATCTTTCTCTTCTGGGTAGGTTGTCCAGAGAGAGGGCTAGCACAAGGAAGAATTTGGACCCAAGTGTGGCTCCGTCTTAGGGTTCCTGCAGGAGGGCCACACACTTGCCTACTGGCCAGTGCCATCAGTCCTGGAGCATTGGTGACTTCTGCTATCCCCTTTCTCCCACTAGGCCTGCAGGACAAGTTGAACAAGAGAGACAAAGAGGTGACAGCCTTGACGTCCCAGACCGAGATGCTCAGGGCCCAAGTAAGTGGTAAGTCTCCTCCCGCAGGGCAGATGCGGGGGGGCTTTCATCAGGGCCATGCCAGTCCAGCAAGCCAGTTGAGTGTGAATGGGTTGGTGCCTGGATCGGGACCCTCCCTCCTCTGTTTTGAGAAGTAAGTGACCTGCGGGGGCAGCCCGGTGGCACACTCGGTAGAGTGCGGCGCTTGAGAGCGTGGTGGCGCTCCCGCCGAGGGTTCGGATCCCATATAGAGACCGGTCCGCTCACTGGTTGAGCGCGGTGCGGGCGCGACACCAAGGGTTGCGATCTCGTTGCCGGTCGCGGTACAGGTGCGACACCGAGCGTTGTGATCCCGTTACCGGTGACGAAAAAAAGACAAAAAGGAAAAAAAATAAAAAAGAAGTAAGTGACTTGGGACAGTTCATCCGTTGTGATCCCGTTACCGGTCACGAAAAAAAGACAAAAAGGAAAAAAAATAAAAAAGAAGTAAGTGACTTGGGACAGTTCATCTGCACTGGGCTTGCTCCTGGGCAGCAGTGAGCGGGAGAGAGTAGCCCATGTACAGTCCAGAATGGAATCTCCCCAGAGCCAGCTCTGTGTTCTCTGTGTCCTGAAATGCCATCACGGGTTCTCTCTTTCTGCTCTTGAGGACTTTGATTTCTCACAAGCCACTTGGATAGTCTATCTGCCCCCAGCCCCTAGAAGAAATACCAGGATTGATTTCAGAACTGGGGAGGACAGTGGTCGGAGCCAAGAGTAGGACACAAAGCTGGGTAGCCTGAGGAGAGGGTCTGGAGTTTGTGATATTGTGACAAATTGGTCCTGCTTCTGAATGCCAGTGGTGGTGTCCATGAGACGGCCCCCCTGCTGGGAAAGGGTTCCCACCCCCTCTTCTGTCCAGTCCCCATCACATTCACATGGCATAATTGGTCCTGACAGAGGTCAGTGGAGCTCAGACTCCTCCAAGGGGAAGGTTGAGCTTCTTTTAGTGTAGGCACCACTGTAAACACCGGGTCCTCTCTGGAAGCATGGCCTGCTCCCCCCACCTGCAGGCTGCTGTGCCTTTGGAGGTGTGGTCTGCTTTTTGTTTTCCCGGGCCCTTTGCTGCCTGCCTCTTAAGGATGACAAGGACCCTCGATGCCTTAAAACTACATAGTGGGGTATGTCAGTGTCCCCCTGGGAAGACCAGCGTCCACCCCTTCGGGTGGAACAGATCCACCTGCATTCTCAACCCTCCTCTACTTTCCCTGCCACTGTCCGCAGCACTGGAGAGCAAGTGCAAGTCGGGAGAGAAGAAGGTGGACACCCTCCTGAAGGAGAAGCGGCGCCTGGAGGCAGAGCTGGAGGCCGTGTCCCGGAAGACCCACGACGCCTCGGGCCAGCTGGTCCTCATCAGCCAGGAGCTGCTGCGCAAGGAGCGGTGAGCCAGCATGTGCTGGGTGGCACCTCTGCCCTTGACCCACGCACCACCTGACCTCGGCCAGCTTTCTCCAGAGGCGGGCCGGGACGGACCTAGGGGGACAGGTGGCTGGGTCACTGCACTCTCCTCTGCCAAGGAGATGAAGCCTCTGAATCCTCAGCATGGTTTTCCAAGCAGAGCTGATGGGAATGATGAGTGCTTTCTGAATTTTTTTGGTCTCAGGGACCCCTTTAAGCTCTTAAAAATTATTGAGGATCCCCAAAGAAGCTTTTGTTTGCTTATTCTATATTTACAATACCAGAGATTAAAACTGAGAAATTTTAAGATATTTATTAATCCATTTAAAAATAATAATTAGCCAATTGCATGTAACACAAATAACATGATTGTTGGTTAAAAAAAGGTAACTTTTCCAAAACAAAAAATATTTACTAAGTGACATTGTTCTACATTTTTTGCAAATTTTTTGAATGTTGGGCTTAATCAAAAAAAGCCAGATTCTTGTATCTTCTACATTGAGTCTTTGCGATTTATCATTTTGGTTGAAGTATATTATGAAAATCTGACCTATATAGATATGTAATTGGAAAAGAGAGGAGTATTTTAATGTCCTTTTCAGATAATTATTAGTATGTTATGTAGCCCCAGGAAAAACCCATTGTATGCTTGAGAGAAATAACAATGAAAATAGTTTTGTTATTATTAAGAAAATAGTTTTGGCCCATAGATTCCCTGAAAAGGTCTTGGGGACCCCTTAGGGACTCCCCAGGCCACAGTTTGAGAACTTCTGGGCCAGATGCAGTTCATATACATGGTTTGTGAGGTCCATATGAGGTTTAAAAAAACTAAAGGAGCATTTAAAAGTCAGAATATGTCATATAAAATCCAGTTTCTCCAGATTCCCTTAAAAAGTCGGAAGAGGGCCGGCCCGGTGGTGCACTGCTACAGTGCGCCGCTTGGGAGTGCGGCGGCGCTCCCGCCGAGGGTTCGGATCCCACATACAGACCGGTTCCCGCTCACTGGCTGAGCGAGGTGCGGGGGCAACACCGAGGGTTGCGATCCCGTTGCCGGTCCCGGTCCGGTACGGGTGCGACACTGAGGGTTGCGATCCGTTGCCGGTCACGAAAAAAGACAAAAAAAAAAAAAAAAAAGGAAAAAGTCGGAAGATCTGACTCCACTGGGCTGACCTCCAGCAGGGCAACCTCCAGCCGTTGCTGGGGACACCGACCCCATCTGGTGGGCCTGGACCCTCTGCATCTCCTCCGTCCCCCACTCTTGCTTTCATTATCTTTCTTATACCCAGTCGTGATCACCAGCCCCTGTGAGCATCTGCACGTCAACCGGAGTTAAAGGAATCTCATTGACACACAAGCGTCTTTTTGTACAAGACTCTGTCTCTTCCCCTCACCTCTCCCCAGTAAATCTGCTGTACAAATCGGGAGTTTCTATGCTAGATTTGCTTCAAATCTAGCACCTCTCTAGAAAAGGTGGCCCTGCCCAATAGGGGCTTCTTAAACAGGTGCAGGGAGGTAGTTTGGGAATATTCCAGGCCAACACGCCCTCTGCAGATGCAGCCTGTGCCTTCTCCTCCTCCTCATCTTCTCTCCTGTCCTAGTGCTTATTTTATCCTTGGTGCTCAGCCCAGTCCCGTCTTCTCCGAGGGGACGTTCTGGACTGTCCTGGCCACAGGGATGCCCCTTCCTCTGATTCCTGGTAGAAGTCACCGGGGGTTTTGGTCTTAATCCATTGCTTTGCAAATGGAAAGGACATTCTTGGGGGGGAGGGGAGAGAGGGAGGAGGGAGGGAGGTGTCGGTGATGGGCCATAATAATCATATACAGTGTATATTGACAAAATTAAAAAATAAATAAATAAATAAATTAAAAAAAAAAAAAATCCATTGCTTTGGATTTCCCCCCTCATCCTCAGCAACACTGCCTCTTTCCTAGAGCTTGGCCTCGGCCACTTCTCCCTGTCACCAGCAGTTCATTCCCCCTCCATCTCTCATCACCCACGCGATTCCCACCTGCTGGAGTGCCGCTGTCTTTTTGGTCATTTCACGAAGTTTAATCCCTTGTTCAAGGCTTAGCTCACATTCCACTTCTTCCTTGAAGCCGTTCTTGATCGATGTGGGCCACAGTAGGATCCTCCACATTCCTGTGGTGTGTAGGATGGGGGTGGGAGATCAGCTAGGAACGCCTTGGTGACAGTATGTGATATGCATCAGAGATTGAACTAGTAGGGAATTCCTTTCCTCACATAAATCTGGAAGTAGCTGTGATAGGCAGTTGGATCAATGACTCAAGATACCAGTGCCAACATCTTTGTCGTTCTTGTCACCTCTTGCAAGGTGGCTGCTGAAGCTCCAGCTATCACATTCATTGCAGGAAGGAGGAGGAATGGGGAAAGGGCAGCACCAGCAGATTTCCACTTGTTCTCAACTACCCATGGCCACCTAGTAAGGGAGTTCTCCTCCTCTGTAATAGATGCAGGTGGGGGAAAAGGATTGCGGGGGTGGGGGTTGCCCATGGCAGGACTTGCTCATCGGTCACTGCATCCTTCCTGCAGAGCCCACATGTGGCCTCAGAACCGTTCTCATCACAGTGCTCCAGGAAGCCACTGCGGCTGGTTAAGAGTTGACCTGGGAAGTAAAGCCCAGCAGATATCAGGCATTTAAAATGTCTTGCCACATGAGATCTCCTGGATGAATGTTTTGGTGTTTTTTGGTTTTTGTTTCTAATTAGACATATATACTCTCATTTAAAAAAATATTTTAAAAACATTCTGGGAAAGGCTGGGTCCTTTTGTCTGTCTTATCCCCAAATCCTGGCCCCCCTTGGGCTGTGATCAAATTGTTTCCTGCCTCGTTTTTTCACTCTGCCCCTGGTGGCACAGCTGCTGTCTGATAGCCAGTGTCCTTCTGAGGTGGTCAGGCTCTGGGTGCTTGGTGAGGTGCTGGAATGTGGAGCTAGGGGGCTGGGGCTGACTGCAGCTGCCCTGTCCCCCAACCCCCCGGCCAGGAGCCTGAACGAACTGCGGGTGTTGCTGCTGGAGGCCAATCGTCACTCCCCTGGACCTGAGAGGGACCTGAGCCGCGAGGTGCACAAGGCTGAGTGGCGGATCAAGGAGCAGAAACTCAAGGATGACATCCGCGGCCTGCGTGAAAAACTGACTGGGCTGGTATGTGGAGGAGGGGTGGCCAGGGGGCAGGAGGTGCCAGGGCAGGGCTGAGGCTGCCCTACTGCCAGGCTGTGAAGACTGATGACCTCCTGGAGTCACCCCAGGAACAGCCAAGTCACAATGAAGGTTTCAAATCCCCTAGGACCACAGGCAGGGTCAGTGATGTGGTGGGGAGCAGGTGGGGGACGGACCCTGGGCATCCTCTTGCAGACGTCGTGGCTGGCTGTGTGGCAGTCTGCATGATGCTGGTACCAGGACAGAACCTCCCCACCCTGTCCTCCTGTGATCAGCATTCAGGACAAGCCTGTGTGCAGTCTTTGGGCCTGGTCCAGTCCAACGTATGGATAGGGTGGGGTCCGGGAGGACAGGCCTCCTCTCAGGGGAAGCTGCTCTGAAACCCCTCACTACCCTCCTACCCAGCCACCAGCTCAACCACATAGTGGAGATGAAAGAAAACAGGGCCTAGCTCTGGGGGAGGTCACAGGCTGGAGGGAGGGGTGAGGCCCACCCACAGCAGGGGGCAGGCCCTCAGTCTGTAGGGTCAGGGATAAGGGGCTTCATTCTGGCCACACAACCCAATCGTGGGCCTGGTGGTCACTGGGATGTCAAGTCCTGGCATATCTGACCAGCAGGGGTTGATGCCAGGACCCTCTGAAGTTCTCACAGCTCTGCGAGTCTGGGAATGACTCCAGAGAAGACAGGCCCTGGGGCTGGTGGGGACTGAGGCTTTCCCAGGTCTGCGTGGGAAGTGGGCATGCTGAGCTCAGATTCGTCCCACGGGCCACAGGGTGGTCACGTTTATGCGAACTGCAGCCCCTACCCCCAGGACAGCCTCTTGTAGCTCCACGGGAGAACTCGGGATGGGCTTGCTGGGTGGGTAGAAACCACCTGAATGGAGAAGGCTCAGGTTTGGATAGAAGGCAGTTTGGATAGAGGGTCAGAGCAGGGTGGAAGGACTGGGTTTCTGTGGAGTGGGGGGGCCTGTCCAGCTTTGTGGCAGGTGTACCGCTGGGTATTGTCGTGGTGGGTGCATCCATGGGGGACTCAGACACTGAAAGTAATGGGGGGGTGCCATGGGTGCCGAACAGGGCTCAGGTAGGCTGGAGGGCGAGGGGATGGGAGGCCCCCATCTATGACAGTGAGGGGTGATGTAAGAAGGAAAACTCGGGGGGTGGGGTCCTGGATTCCAGGACCTGGAGAATGTGGAGCATCTGACAGACCCTAGGGATTCAGGGCAGGGGGCCCTCAGGGAGGGAACCCAGAAGTGGGGCCAGAAGACTTTTCTGCCTAGAGGTGAGACCCCCCCAGCACACACACGTGTGCACACACACACACACTCTTGCACTCTCCTGCCCCTCCAGGATAAAGAGAGGTCCCTGTCAGATCAGAGGCACTACTCCCTCATTGACCCGTCCTCGGCACCCGAGCTCTCACGGCTGCAGCACCAGCTCATGCACACACTCTTGCACTCTCCTGCCCCTCCAGGATAAAGAGAGGTCCCTGTCAGATCAGAGGCGCTACTCCCTCATTGACCCGTCCTCGGCACCCGAGCTCTCACGGCTGCAGCACCAGCTCATGAGCACGGAGGATGCACTGCGGGACGCGCTGGACCAGGCTCAGCAGGTGGAGAAACTCATGGAAGCCATGAGGAGCTGCCCTGACAAGGCCCAGGTGAGCTGCAGCCAGGGCACATTGACCAGGAGGGTGTGATGGGGCCGTGTCCACAGGGAGCCCCAGTCTGAAGGGGAAGGCAGTCCTGCCTTCTGACAGTCCCAGTCCAAGGGCTTTACCCTGAGGGTCTCAGACTAGGAAGGGAGAAGTGGCCTTGCCTGAGAGGCTTGGTCTCTGGGGGTCCTGAGAGCCCCAGGCTGAAGAGGTTGGGGTTTGGAGCCCGAGGTGGTTCCCTTGGGAAGACCTTGCCATCTAGTGGGCCAGCCAGGAACTGCTGCCAGTGCACCTGCTAAGCGTCTCCCCATGACTCTTCCAGAACATTGGCAATTCCGGTTCTGCAAATGGCATCCACCAGCAAGACAAAGCCCACAAACAAGAGGTAAGGGCGGCTCTGGCCCTCCCATGCACGCAGATCTCTCCAGAGAAAAACCCTGAAAAGTCACTAAAAATACACAAAGATGCATTGTGTGAGCAGCTTTACAGGCGGGTCGCTTGGGGGGGCTACTGCAGTCAGACTCCATTCAGCCTTCATCCTGCTCTTTGAACCTCATCTTCCTCCTTTTTTAAAAAGACATTCTTGTGATAAAGTAATACATGCCTATAGGGAAACTTCTGGAAAAAAAAACCCAAAAATATATAAAGAAAATACTCACCAGTAGCCTTCATACTCAGAGATAACCAAGATTGACATTTTTAAGTGATATCCTCCTTGAACTTCCCTAAGCGTGTATGCGTGTGTGGAGGTATGTTCACATGTGTAGCCAGTCCTCATTTTTCGAGGATTCCACATATGCAAATTTGCCTACTCACTAATAGTTATTTGTAATCCCAAAATCGATTCTTTGGGTGCTCTCTCGGTCATCCACGGTGCACACAGAGGCAGACCACGTGAGTCACCCCACGTGCTCCCCACCCGAGGCTGGACCGGGCGGCGCTCTGCCTGCTGCTGCAGCTCGCCCGCTGTGAGCAGCATCCCTTTCATGGCCTTAATGCCATGTTTTTGAATTTCTGTGCTTTTCATTGGTGATTTTGCTGTTTAAAATGCTGCCCCATGCAGAGCTGAAGTGCTGTCTAGTGTTCCTACTTGCAGGAAGGCTCCGGTGCGTCTTACGGAGAAAGCGTTAGACACGCTTTGTTCAGGCATGAGAGGTAGTGCTGTTGGCCGTGAGTTCAATGTTAGTGATATTAACAGATATTCAGTAAGGTGTCTTTAAACAGAAACACACGTAAAACTAGGGTGAGTGTTGACTGGTGGATGAAAATGTGATAGAGGCTCGCAGGAACCTACCCTCCCGCTTCCCCAAGAGTACTGGTTTGGTGTCGCCAGCTCAGTGTGCTCGGGGACTGGGTAGAGCAGAACTACTGAGAATAACGAGGGTCATGGCTACAGGTGTGCACGCGTATGTATGTCTGCGTGCATGCGTGCTAACTTTTGTTAGCTATCGTCTCACTCTTAGTGCCTGGAGTGTTCTCTGCCATTTTCCCCAGAACATACTAACATGTTGCCCCGTTCAGTTGATCTTTTCGTGTCTATACATAGATGTGTTTAATAATATGTATAATTTTTTTTTTTTTAAAGATGACCAGTAAGGATATCTTAACCCTTGACTTGATGTTGTGAGCACCACGCTCTCCCAAGTGAGCCACGGGCTGGCCCTCTTAATATGTATAATTTTTTATGAACCATTTGAGTATAATTGTATGTATCATGGCCCTAAACGCTTGAGTCTATCTACCCTGAGGAAAGGACATGGTTTTACATAACCACAGTAGTGACCCATCTCAGTAACCATAATGTTGACACAGGGTTTACGTGTAACCAACGCTCCTACCCGTTTCTGCAGTTTGCTCAGCAGTATCTTCTGCGATTCTTTTCTCTCAGTACAGGATTTGGTCTAGCGTCGAGTCGGCTTATTGCATTTCCTTGTTATGTCTATTTAGTCTCCTTAAATCTGGAACATTTCCTCAATTTCCGTGTGATTTTTATGACATTGACGTTTTTAAAATACAATCCTCTCTCTCTTTTTTTTAATAGAAGATGGTCTAGCGTCGAGTCGGCTTATTGCATTTCCTTGTTATGTCTATTTAGTCTCCTTAAATCTGGAACATTTCCTCAATTTCCGTCTGATTTTTATGACATTGACGTTTTTAAAATACAATCCTCTCTCTCTTTTTTTTAATAGAAGACTCCTTGTTTGGGATTTGTGTAGTCCCTTGTGATGAGCCTCAGGTTATACTCAGGGTGTCACAGCCTGGGGGTGTCTTGCCCACCTGACCCTCACTTGTGATCACCTGCTCAAGGTGGTGTCTGATTTCTCTGCTGCATAGTTACTGTTTTTTTTCCTAACAAGTAGTGTGTGGAGAGAGACTTTAGGACCATATGAATGCTCTGTTCCCCACCAAAACTCCCCCTGGATTTAACGTCTACCCATACCACTTGCATGAACCAATCTCAACAACAAAATTTGCAGAGGAGCAGATCTATCATTTGTATAGAGTAGGTAGCATACTCCATATTTAATTTTGCTCCCAGTTTTCTTCCACTGGATATTTTAAACATAAGCATTTTCTCTCCTTTTAAAGCAGTCTTTGTCAATTCTACGTTTTACAAAATTGTGTATATGAAATTAGTTTTCTAAAACCTCATGGGCCTGAGGGGCTCCCACGCTGGTTGTGTCTCTGCTTGGTGATGTTATTTTGCAGGGGGTGCCAAGTGGCCCCCACCTTGTCCCACAGTCAACCCCTGCATTCACCAGCCCCTGGTCCAGAACCAGCTCTGTCCCTGGCTTACTGTGTGACCTTGGGCAAGTGAGGCTGGAATAGGGGAAGGAGGCTACTTCCTCCTCTTCCACCCAGGAGCCCCCAGACTGCAGGTGCTCACGAGAGATGGGAGAACCTCGGCCACAGAATCTGTCAAGGGCCCTAACTTTGGGGGCCGGGCAGGGGCAGGGGAGGACCTGGACCAGCCTGAGAGCAGCATGGAGGCACCAGGCTGCAGAGGAGGGAAGGCTGCGGGGCCGGGACAGGTGGGTGGCATTGGCAGAGCCGCCGCAGGTTGTCAGGGCACCTGGGAGCCGGCGTGCGGCTTTGTCCTCCAGCAATCCTGCGAGGCACAGGGGTCCAGCTCAGTTCACAGGTGTGGAAACTGAGACTCGGAGTCTCCAGTTTTCATTTCCTCTGATACAGCCTCCACATGGGGACTCGGGGCTCTTTGTAAAACCCACCCACAGCTTCCCGGTAATGTCTGTCACCCTACCTCCTGTCCCACTGTGCCCCGGACACAAAGCAGGGAGGCTTTTCTTGCCTCCGGGCATTGGCACATGCTGTTCCCGCTGCCCCGCATGCTCTCCTCCCCCTCCCCACCGCCACTCCCTTCTTCCCTGACCCTCCTCCGCCTACGTGTCCCTCAAGGCTCTTGGAGACACTTGCTGATCGAGCTCTTTCTCTCTTTAGGACAAGCACTGACCCTGAGGGACATGGTGGAGCAGCCTAGCCCACACCAGAGCCCCGCCAGGCTGCCTGGGGGCGCTTCCTCCAGGCAGGGACCAGGACTGTCGCTTTGGAGACAGGATAGTGTTTGTAACAATAACGTACTCACCGCCATGGACAATCCCCCACCCCGAACCCCCTGCCGGACCAGGAGGCTTCCTCAAGCACGGCCTTCCCAGAGAGCAGTACCGCCCCGGCCTGGCCCTGGGAACTTCAGCCTGGACATCTGGCAGCTTCTGGAATTTGTCTGGGGAGGCAGAGGGGGTCCAGTTGGTCCCCTCTCCCCAGAACGAGCTGCCCTGAGGCTCATCTTGGCGCTCTGGGCCTTGATGGGCCCCCTTGCCTTCCCTTTCCTCCCCTTCTCCCCCAGGGCTCCTCGAGCCTAGAGGGGCCAGAGGAGGGCCCAGCTTCTCCTTGCAGGCACCGAGGAGGGAAATCCGGGCTCCAGGAGCAAGGTGGGGGACCCTTTTCTGCAGCCACTTCCAGGCCAAGGCAGTCCCCAGGGCTTTGGTCCCCACTTGCTGAGCCCCTCAAGCAGTGGTACAAGTTTCCCTCAAGTGGTACAGGTCTGCCCAGTGAGGTCTCCAGGTTCAAAGTGTTGGGGGTACAGGGTCCTTCTTCCCCCACCCAGCAACAACCCCTTACACACACTTCCAAGCTGCTGGCCAGAGGGAGTTCACCAGGGCTACGAGCCACAGTATTAACGAAGTTTGGAAGTCCCTCTCCTCATCCCCCACCACAACCTTGTCCAAGCCCTGGCTTGGAGCTGGGGCAGGGGTGGCTGCAGGAGAGCCCAGAGCAAGGGCCTGGGCATGTTTTGACAAAGGTCAGTAATAGGGTGTCCCCTGAGTTGATTAGATGTTTCCAAAGTGGACCTCCCACCTGCAGAGGCACCCATGTGGGCCTGACGTACACACTCCATTGACACACATACTCAGGCCATGCGTGCACACGTGGCCATGCAGATGGGGGTGTCTGCAGTTAACCACACTCAGGCCACACAGGTGCATGGCTTGGGTTCCGGGACTGAGCCCTAAGCCTGGTGGGGCCATGCCCGGGAACACTACAAACGTTCCTGCCCCCTCAAGGTTTACATACCCACCCAGGTACACACAGCTGGGCGTTCAGGGATGCCTAGAACTCACCAGAATGAGCATGTACCAACAGCCCCTTTCAGTCTGACAGGTGCCTGCATGGGGCTCTTCAGCCCTGTCTTCTGTGGCTGGGAAGAGAGCCCAAGCAGTGGTGGGGATAAGAAAAATCTACCTGCCTCCTGTCACCTGTCAAGCTCTGCTGGGCTATCCCGGCCTGTGCATGGTGGGAAAAGCCAGTGTTGGCCCAGCAGCCCCCCTTTTTGAGCTGCAGGGCCCATAGGTGACTTCCGCCTGGGCCTCAGCATCAGCACACAGGGACCTGCCCACCCTCCACAGCTCGGGGGAGCTTTCAGTGGGGCCCTTCCCAGCCAGGGGACTCACGCAGGGCCCATAGGTGACTTCCGCCTGGGCCTCAGCATCAGCACACAGGGGCCCTGCCCACCCTCCACAGCTCGGGGGAGCTTTCAGTGGGGCCCTTCCCAGCCAGGGGACTCACGGGAGAAGCCTGATGCCTATCCTGGCTTTCCATCAGCCACAGGACAGGTGTGCAGTTCACAGGAACAGCCCAGGTCGCCATGGTGGGCACTAACAGGTAGGGGAGGTGGTGCTCACATTCTTGCCCAAACGCAGCCTGTCGGGGCAGCGAGTTAGTCCCCTTGGCCCCCTTTCTGCTCCTTTTTGGCCCTTGGTAGCTCTCGCATGCAGTTTTATTAACAACAGCCTAGAAATGATGCTTTAGTGGCCTAACCCAGAGTCAAATACTGCTCTTTCCAGTAAAATCGGGCAGCTCTGCCCTGTCCACAGCAGGAACTGGTTAGTCTACTAACAGCCAAAGGCCTCCACAGTTGGGCACCAGGAGGGGCTGAGCTCCAGGGGGTGGGCTTGCAGGTGGCAGGTACCCAAGAAGCAATTTCCTGTGGGCCTCTCAGCCTGCCCAGGTGTGGCTCAGCCAGTCCCCTCCCCAGGTCCTCCCCATACCCTTCCCCTCCCCACAGTGGAATTGTTGAAGTGTGGCGAGTCCGTGCTCGGAACAATAAAGCTTGTGACTGAGGTCCAGGACCCCTGTAGTCATCAGCTTCTTTCTGAATGTGGCTCGGGCTCCTCCAGCCTCGCTAAGCCCTTGGGCACCCTGGTGCCGGGTGTTGGTCCCCGATTCTACTCTGCCGCCAGCTAATTCTGGTGTAAATGGCTGATGAGGGCCTCAGAGCAGCTAGAGTCAAAGAATCCCTGGGACTGAGGTTCCTTGTCCTGGAGAGAAACGAGCAAGAGCAGACAGAAGCAAAGGTGGCGAGGGGCAGGCCCAGCAAGGCCACCAGGGTGCAGGAGATGCCGAAGGAGCGCAGGGCTTTGCACTGGGTTTGCAGTGGAGTCAGAGATGTGAGCAGGCCCGCGAGGAAAAATGAAAATGATGGTGGACCAGCTAACATGTTTGAAGAGTTTGATGAGAACGTTTCCAGCTTGTGAGCAAATTGTTTCCTGCAGCAGCTTTCTGTAGATCAAGTGAAGAGTACAACCTTTTGCAAGCTTTGTGGTCATCACAGACGGGTGGAGTTGGCCTCCCCGGGAGACTGAACAAGGCTCTTGAGGTTAACAGCTGGATGCGTCAGGAGGCTTCGTGCACTTTCTCAGGAACAATGTGAGCAAAGTCCTGGAGGCAGCAGTGGGGCACCAAGGGGGAAGGAGAGTTTAAGGAAGGGGCTGAGAGAACCCTCAAGGGACTCCCTGAGGAGCCATTACCAATCCGAAGGGGTGAAGTGAAGGACCTGATAGCAAAACTAGGGGAAACCGCAGGACCCCGGCCCAGGGGGGAAGCTGCTGGAGGAGTAAATCTCTCTCCTGCCCTCTTGTCCTGCCAGCCCTGCCTACTGGCCAAGCTCCACCTGTTGGAGGGTAGAAATCAGCCCCCAGGACAGCCCAGGGCAGAGAGGGGAGCAGAGTGGATTTGGGGTGTAGGCAAATAGAGAACAGTCATCAGTCTCCATCCTGAGACAGATCTGGGGTAGATTTAACAGCATCCTATTCTCTGGGCTTCTGCCGCTCAGAATAGAAATGGTCTTTGCCCTTCCAGAACCTCTTACCCACCCAGCATTTTGAAATTCAAAGTGCTTCTGCAAACAGGAATCTTTACCCTCAAAACTTGTCAAACACCACTGTGACCTGTGGTTCCTTTTCATTTGGCCCAAGGCACTGGGTTAGCCCAGTCACCCTGACTGACAGGTAGTCACCTAGGATGCTGAGGGTGTCACTCTCCCCCGGGTGAAGGGTTTCCTCGACTTGTTTGATCTTCAGTGGGAACTCCACACCAAGGACATGGGGTCAGAGAAGAGCAGACCCTCACTCACACATGCTTACCGGAGGACAGAGCCTCCGGACCATGAGGAAGTGGGTGCTGGGTGGGGGGAGGAAGGGAGGGAGGAGAAAGGGGTGATGAGCAGGGCAAGAGAAAGGGGTGATGAGCTGGAGCCAAGGCTGACTTTGTCACCAGGGCTGAGGTTTGTGTGTGGGATGTAATGCGGATCTCAGGAAGAAGCACTCTGAGCCTTTGCCCCGGCATGCCACAGGAGGGGCAGGATGGAAGAAGGGGACCTGAGTGAGGGTGAGGGGCCTTGGGTGTTGGTGATGGACGGATGTGCAGAGCCCTTGCCTTCGTGGGCTTATCCTCAAGGTCAGGGGACTCCAGGAGGATGTCTGGGGTTTGGGGAGGTGTGTGTAATTCCAAGGCCTGGAGGACAGCCTTGACCCTTCAGAGACTGCCTGCCACCTTGGAGGGGTGTGGGTGAGGTCTTGACAGCACAGCCTTGGGAAGAGCACAGACACTGGACACCCTTGGGGTCCAGCTCAGCCTGCCACCCTCTGGCTATGGGCTCAATCCCACTGCTCCATTTCCCTGAGCCTCAGATTCATCATCTGTGAAATGGATAAAGTAACACAGACCTCGTGCACAGTGGGGTCTGAGTGAACCCTGCACAGCCTTAGGTTGGAGGCCTCGCCTGGGTGTTCCCTCCCCTCTGCCCCCCTCTGTGTGTGCAGATGCCAAGCAGGCAGGTGAGCATCTGTGGTCCCTGGGAGCCCCTGTGGGGCAGCCCTCGATGGGTCAGTTTTATGGGTCAGATCAGTGGGGGGCGGCCTGCTCACCAGGTGCAGGAAGAGCCCCAAGAGCTCAGCACATCTTGTTGGCCCACCGCAGCATCCCTGCCTCGAAGCTCCTTGAGCTAGTGGCAGGCCAGGGTCTCCCCCAGGCCAGGTCTGGGGTTCCGAGAGGGCTGGGAGCTGGCTGCTGTGGATACACCGTCGCTGGGTTGACTTTTCTTTTTTAACTTTTTTATTTTGAGATAATTTTAGATTTACAGATGAATTGAGAAAATAATGTACTTCCCATCCACCCTTTGCCAGCTCCCCCAGCATCAGCATCTTGCCTACACAGCACAGTGATCCAAACTAGCGAACGAATGTTGCTATGACACTCTCAGCCGCAGTGTGGGCTCCATTCAGATTTCACTGGTTTTCCCATCAGTGCCCTCTCCTGTCCCAGGACCCTCTCAGAGTGCCACGTTGCATTTATTCATCGTGTCTCCTAAATTAAGGTTTATCTGGCATATTCTCCTGATTCTACTGAGATTGTGCATTTTGGGGCAGGACAGCACAGAGGCGATGTCCCTCAGTGCATCCAACCAGGGAGGACCTGCTGCTGACATGGCTTCTTCCTGGGGTTGCCAGCCTTGACACTGGGTTAAGGTGACATGCCCCAGGATTCTCCCCCATACTACTACTCTTTTTCCCTTTGTAATTCATAAATATTTTGTAAGAGATACTTTGAGGTGATGCAAATATCCTGTTTCTCCTTAAACTTCACCTCTGAGTTGAGCATCCATTGATGGATGTTGCCTGCAGCAGTTACTGCTGTGATATTCTAATAGTGATTTTCTGTCTCCCTCATTCTTTCTACATTTATTACCTGGAATTCTTCTGCAAGAAAGAGTTTGTCTCTTCTCCCCCATTTACTTACGTATCCAATTGTTTATTTATATCAGTATGGACTTAATGGATACATTATACTTAGGGTCATGATCCGGTGCTATCATTACTTATTTTGTTGCTCAAGTTGTTCCAGCATCAGCCATTGGCAGCTCTTTTAGTTGGTTCCTCTGCCCCTTTGACATGCCCTCATCCTTTTGTTTTTCAAGCACTTCCTCACTTTTTGGTCCTACAAGATGCTCCAGGCTCACCTTGTATTTTCTCTGCCCCAGCCCTGGAATCAGCCAATGAGATATGAAACTAAAGCAACCGAAGAGGGATGGGGATAGATTGCATTTCATCAAAATGTAACATGTTTGGGCCGGCCCGGTGGCGCACTGGATAGTGTGCCGCTTGGGAAGCGTGGCGGTGCTCCCGCCCGAGGGTTCGGATCCCACATACAGACCGGTTCCCGCTCACTGGCTGAGCGAGGCACGGGAGCAACGCCGAGGGTTGCAATCCCGTTGCCGGTCCCCGGTCCGGTACGGGGGCAACACTGAGGGTTGTGATCTGTTGCCAGACACGGAAAAAAGACAAAAAAGACAAAAAAAAAAAAAAATGTAACATGTTTGTACATCACGGGATACCCACTAAACGTGAGAAAATATTTGCAAATCATATATCTGAGAAGGGTCTAGTATCCAGAGTGTATAAGGAATTCTTTCAGCTCAATGATAAAAATACAGATAACCTAATTTTAAAATGGGCAAAGGATCTGAATACACATTTCTCCAAAGAAGACATACAAATGGCCAACAGGCACATGAAAAGGTGCTCAATATTGTCAGTCACTAAGAAAATGCAAATCAAAACCAAAATGATATACCACTTCACCCTCACTGGATGGCTAAAAATTAAAGAGAGATAATAACAAGTGTTGACAAGGAGGAAGAGCAATTGGAACTCTCACACATTGCTGGAGCAAGTGTAACATGGAACAACCACTTTGAAAAACACTTTGGCAGTTTCTCAAAATGTCAAACGTAGAGTTATCCTATGACTCAGCAATCTTACTTCCAGGTGTCCATACAAAAACTTGTACACAGATATTCACAGCAGTATTATGCATAACAGCCAAAAAGTGGAAACAACACAAATGTCCATCAACTGATGAATGGAAAAACAAAATGTGGTATATCCATATAATGGAGCATTATTTGGCCACAAAAAGGAATGAAATACTGATACATGCAGCAACATGGAGAAACCTCCAAAGCATCATGCTAAGTGAAAAAAGCCAGACACAAAAGGTCATGTACTGTATGATTCCATTTACATGAAATATCCATGGATAAATCCAAGGAGACAGAAGGCAGGTTGCTGGTTCCCAGGGGCTGAGGGGAAGGGAAATTGGGAGAAACTACTTAATGGATATGGGGTTTTACTTCAGAGCAATGGAAATGTTGTGGAATGAGACAGAGGTGGTAGCTGCATAACATTGTGAACATCCTAAATGTCACTGCGGTCCTCTGTGGAATGATTCATTTTGTTATATGAACTTCACCTCAATAGGTTATTTTTTTTTTTTAAAGAAATCTTACATTATGATAGTTACCATGGTTTTCACAGGAGGAGTGTGATTTATTAATATGAGCACCAGAATGTATTAGGAATCTTCGTTAAATAGTGATGTATGAATATTTTTATTTGATCAGATAATTTCAGGGAAAAATATCGGTTGGTGCAATTTTTCATGTTAACAGAATAAAGAACCATTTCAGCAACTGCACTAGACTGCTGGCAGAGGGGAGGCCGCATGGGGAGCAGAGGAACCTGTTTGACGTCGCTTGATTGAAAAGTTATAAAGGAGTCAAACACGGAACTAGGGGCAGGCAGGGGCCAGCGTGCACTATTGCTCAGCAGGCTTGGCCTGGCATGGGCCCAGGTCTCCCAGCCTGAGACTCTGTGCCCATGGCCGCAGTTCCAGCTTCAGCATACCATCTTGGTGCCTGGGCCATTTACAGGCAGCAGCCAGGGCCACTATGACAGATTCTGGCACTGATGTCTCTGATGCAGTGAGCTGGTGCCTCTCTCACAAGCAGTGC